GAGGTGGACGAGCAAGCAAGCCATTCGGGTGGACTTCATTAAACTGATTGCCTCATGGGATGTGTGATATCCCCTCTTCCTTCTCTTTTCTCTTGAAGTTGGGGAGTAGCGCAATTCCGAGTTTCGAGAGGTTTCAGGAGACAAGTGGTAGACATACTCGCTTGTGTAGATGGATGGTGTATTCGCGCGCGACGACGTCTCCAATCGCAGAACGAGACTTCTTGCCCGTCTGCTTCGGCTGGGTCTTGGGGTTGTCTTTCACCATTTTGACGGTATTCTAAGTTGGAAGGTAATGTCAGCTGCAAGTCCCTGTAGATTTTGAGATTTTTGCGCTGGCTTCGAAAGTTCAGGCTAGTGAGATGGATGTGCTGTAGTATCAGGGAGGTGTTGTTTTTCACATACTGTCTGAACTGGTAAAGGACTAGAGACACTGGCGGAATGTTGAACTGACTGAAGAAGACGTCTTGGATTGAAATTTGGATGTGCGCAGTTTGTCCGAAAATGGAAAGGCCGTGCCAAGATTTCTATCACGTGGTGCAGCATCTGGCATACGAAGTGCATCCACACCGAAGTCGACCAGGAAGCGAGAGGGATGGATACATGTAGATTGGAGCGTCTACGGAGCCACTTTCAACACCAATATTTCCGAACTCGGCCACCACAAGCCTGAGAGGTCAAATCAGCTGCAATGTCTTTTTTCGTCTTCATTGCTGTATTCTTGCTCTGCAACGACTCGTCCACCTTTCATTCCTCGAAGCGCACCTTTCCAGCACTCACGTCAGGATAGACATCAAACCTTCTCTGAGTATAGATTGGAATGCCTTTCCTCGTCTCTTCAATCTTTGTGCCATCAATTTCGGCATAGACAATATCTTCATACTCTTGAGCCTCAGCCAAGACCTCCGCATTGGGATTCACTATCATCGAATGCCCATAAGCATGATAGGTTGCTTGCGTGTCTCGCGCGGGACTACACATCGCCACGTAAATCTGGTTGTCCATTGCCCTCGCACGGGCTTGCAATGTCCAGTGCATTGGACCCGTTGTCGTATTGAAGGCTCCAGGGTAAACAAACATGAAGGCATCTTTCCTTGCAGCTATCATGGCGAGTTCGGGGAAGCGAACGTCATAACAAATTGCTAACCCAATCTTACCATATTCCGGTACGTCGACAATAGTCACTTTGTTTCCTGGAGACAGGACATCGCTCTCTTTGAACTTAATCTTGCCTGGTATGTCGATGTCAAACAAGTGTGTCTTTCGGTGTGTCGCCAGAAGCTTTCCTGTGGGCGAGAACACAAGAGACGTGTTGAAGTATTCCTTCGTCTCTGGGACGAATTCAGGTATGCTCCCGCCAATCAGGTATGTCTTCGTTTCTGCGGCGACTTTGGACAACATGTGCCACGAGGGTGCTTTCTCTTCTGAGGGAGGCGAAGGAAGGACGGTCTCGGCGTACACAGGGAAATATTGACAGCCGTACGGCGAGTTGAAGCATTCAGGAAGGACGATCATGGAGGCGCCAGCTTTTGCGGCTTCGATGACTTTCGAGCGAGCATGTGCAAGATTTGCTGCCTTATCACCACCTGTACACGCATCAGAATAGTTGCTTCAAATCTGAATTTTGAAACAGAGTACTCACCACTTACCGGATGCAAGCTGCACGAGAGCAAGCTTGAAGGGCTTTTTAAGTAGGCTTGCCATTGTTGCGGCTCAAGTCAGCAGACAGTCTAGGTGATTTGGGCGGCACAGGAGGATATATTGTTTTCCAGAATCACTCCTTTATTTGCAGGGAGCCAGATGGGACAATGTGATGCAAGACGATCAGTTGGGCGAGAGGGTCAATGGAGGGGCTTGTCGCACGGAGGATGTGGCACGGAGGAGATTGAGCTGGGCGGGAAGGTTGACCGAGCAAAGTCATCGTTGGAGGCTTACTAGGCTCAGGGGGGTCACACTAATTGACACCATCAGTCTCCCATGAAGACCCTCTGAGAGTCGCTTCCTATCAAGCACGGCAGTCATTCATCTTCAGGTAAATTACAGGAAAGATTTTATTGTTCTGCCAACTATAGAGTCAGGCAATAGATGCCCGAGCCTGGTTGAGCCAGGTGGGCAGGTGGCCCATCTCTTCATGTTGGAAACAGAGACTGTGTGAGTGAAAAGTGAAAATGGTCCATAGCTGCTGGAGGGAGCCTCGTTGATCACCTCTCATTATGCGCGCTTTCCTTTCCCTCTTCCACGCTCCATCTCAATCTCAGTCCCAATCGTTGCAGCTCTGCCAGACCCGAGTCTTACGGACTTTCCCTCTTGGCTGATCTGCGACTTGGACGGGTAGGTACTTTCCTTTGTCGCTGTTACCCCCAACCCGCAGACACGAGGAAACTCCCTCGTGCCTTCACCCTCGTCGCTCCAGTGACACTTGTCTTCTTCTTTTCGTCAAATTCCGCTCGTCTCTCTCCGTCATCTAACTACTCTCGCCCTGATGCTGTCATCACCACAACCAACTCAAGGTCAGCACCACGCTCTCGCGAAATATGCATCTCACTCACCTTTCTTACCCAACAGTGTGCCTCGTGTTGACCGAATCCTTGACCATGGCCAATCACGCCTCAAGCGTCAAAGCTGAGCCTGCCCAGCCTGCCGCACATGGCATCAACAAGGGTGAGGCTAGCACGCAATCTGTGACGTCTCAAACTGGGACCGTGAAAGATCAGGTTGCCGCTTCTCAGGGAGATGATCGAAGCTCAACCAAGCTTGCTGGGAGTGCCAGGAAGCAAACCCGCGCCCCTCCAACGTTCAGCGTTGCTATGGAGAAGGACGTCAGAGAGATGATGAATAAAGCTCGCAAAGTTCTTCATGGAAAGGAAACCCGGACCAAGACAGAAGAGGACTACAAGAGCATGGCATTGCTTGCCACGAATCTCGTCCAGCTCATGAACGCTTCATTCATTGTGGGTCATCTTAACCGTGTGTTTGATTTATCACTGACTTGCCCAGGCCACTGACACCATTGTTCGTGCCATTGCTTACATGAGAGGAGACAGTCAACTTTCTGCTCGGAGCTCTATCTTCCAAGCTAGACGAGACCGCCGTGCGCAGAAGGTAGCTGAGAGACTTCTCGATGACGTGAAGAATAGTGTTCTGAACACTATATCTCCCAATGGTGCCGAAGCCCGAACAAAAGCCGCCGTCTCAAATGCGAAAGCAACCCCCAACAATACGCAAGTTAGTGTTGAGGTTGGCCCGAACCAGCGGGATACCGCACTGGGTAACGAGGACCAGCAACAGAGACCACAGTCGCTTCAGACCAAAGCCAACAAGAAGAAGAGAAACTACCGCCGTCCCATCCGGAACCGAAAGGATAGCGCTATCCTCAAAGTACACGAGCACAAGGCAGGTGTGGCGGATAACACAGTCGGTGGCGCAGACGAATCGAAGGACAATGTGAATAAGAAGACAACAGCGGCCGAACACAAGCCCGAGACATCTGGGGAAGAAACTGCTGTTGAAGGTGATGGCGTGGCCGTTGCTATCAAGGCCTGAAACACTTGTTCTGGGGAAGTCCTTCCGCGAACCTCAATGTCAGTAATTAGTGATGGGCAATGTCGAAATAGTTGAGAGTCACAGCTACTGATCAGGCAATGAATGGAATGACGGAATATCTTACTGGCTGCGCGGCATTGGTGATGATGCAAATGAAAACTGACGGACAAAATGGCAAATGCACATAGCTAGCTGCCTCATTAGGGACTACTCACTAGTTTTAATGCTCTTTAAGGCGGTGAACCCTCCCATGGGATAGGTGCACCTGTCTGACACTGAGCATCAGACAGCTAGGTTCATAGCAGATTGGCCTAGGTATGGCTCCGGCTAGATGACGAGGCTGAGGTCTGATAATGAGAAATGGAATCTGAAGGATTGGGCGCTGAGTATGGCGGCTTACCAGGTGTTTTGCAGAGCAGATAGGTGGTCTGAATGCCAGGGGACCGGCTCTTTTTTTCTTTAAAAAAAAAAAAAAAGCTTTAGCTCAAGGGTTGCTATATAACTTGAGCGCAAGTTCGCTCCGCCACAGCCTATAATTCCTTGTTCGAGACCTAGAGTAGACCAACATGTCCTCGCGGACTCAAAATGGGACTTTGTAGATAGCAAGACTCGTCGTGTCGGCGTGGTCGTGGGTGGGTACGTCATTGTCACAGCACTAAGCCTGATCAGTACCTGACTTAGTTGTATCGAGTCCTGGCGCTGGCATTGGCCACATATCTGTTTCGGCCAATGCTTCTCTCTCTGCACTACGTATCTACGCATTATCACCTCACAAACACGGTGTCGCCGGGAGAAGACCTCCAACATGCCTCGTCCTAGTGGTCTCGCCCAGTACTCTGCTATACTCGGGGGATTCTCGTCCGGTTATAAACACGTGCAAGCGAGAAGGAGTCGTGCTAGAACGACGATGGGGATACAACAACCAATTATCCCAAGGTTTTCGCTAGGCTAGAACCCAATGCAGCACTACGAGTCGGCGAATTGATTCATCATCTCTCCCCATTGGGGTCCAAGACACGGGTTATGACTGCCTTTCGCGGAGCTGGTGCAGGGCTGTCCCCACGAGAAAATGACATGACAAACCTGCGGCTCTGGAAATGAGTCTCCATGGCTTCGCTATTATGTCACAGAGGTTGCACAAAAGGTTACATAATGCCAACCTGTGGGCGCGTCTGACTAACAGTCATCAGTAGCGACGACTTCGCCCCTGAGCGGGGGCCAACTATCTTGCTACTAGTCAACGAATAGGAGTTGAGTGGCATTTGCCTATTCCATTCTTCTACGCTTTGCAGTTTTCGTCGATATCAATGGCGATCTGCTGCACTGCCGACCTGCTAAACATTACACGATGCGAGAAACCGCCAGAATGTCGCCATCCCTCTCAGGGAAAGATTGTTTGTTGTGTGCCCGCCCCGTCAAGGACTCCTGGTGCCATGGCATGCATAATCACAAATCCCATTATGCCTTCGGGCTTGGTTCACAAAGTGGCACGCAGAGCTGTGCCTTCGTCCCCGTTCGGGTTCAAAGTTTGTCGCCGCCTGGGTACCTCCCTAAGCCTGGCGTTAATGCACCTTTGTGGCAATTCTAGGAGGCGGTGGATGGCGGGCGAGTGGGTCTTGACTGCGTCTGTCAGGGGCCGCTGGGAGACCTTATTCAACATTCCCAATTGACCGTCAATGTGGAGACCATGAAATCCATTAAGAGGGAACAGAGTCGACATTCACGGGAAGGATTTCTCGAGCTGAACAGTGTTCTTCTCTCACTTCCGCCAGATGAGACTGGTACTAACGTTGGAGGTCAAGTCCGGAGATCATGGGCCCTCATTCCGCTATCCTTCGACGGAGTCACGGTAAATCCAAGGGTGGATGCAAGACCTGCCTCTCCCGGCGGGTGAGATGTGACCAGGCGAGGCCTACATGGTGAGTGTCTGCTACTGCTTTGAGAACCACCAACACCCCGCAACTCGTGCACTAACGGGGATACGAGTCAAAACTGTGCTCGAGGATCGCGAGCATGCGTCTACCTAAGTCTGTCGACCGGAGCGGCTGCGGATCACGCGAGGTCCATCGCCTGGGTGGATTCGATCGAGATCGCCTGTCAGGTCTGGAGGGAGAGCGGCGACACTCCGTTCCCCATGCTGAAGGTTTTATCGTCTCTAGACTGGCACGGTCTCGATCCACGAGGTCTCCGATACCTCTACTACATTGCCTCTCTCGGCAACATTTTGGACCAGAACAACGCTCGCCAATTCGCCCTCTGGTGGGATACCTATGAAGTGTTTGTACGCCCTGCCCGGGCCGGAGCCGACGTTTCAACCGCCAAGTTCTACTAACAACAAACAATAGGGGTATTCAAGCCACGGCAAAGTATGACTTCGTTGCATATGCTCAGATAGTGGCTGCCGCCAGCCGTATCGGGAAATTGACCAGGATGGCAAGCGTCATGGAGGACGCAGTGCGGTACAGGTCATTGGCTTTGAAAGGCCTGCAACAGGCGCTCGCATCCTTCTCAAGGGAGAATGCCGATGGGGTTTTGGCAGCGTCCATCAGCTTCATGTTCAATCAGCCAACTCCAGCCGATTTGCGGAGGATCACGCAGGGGACAGTTGCGGTAGTCGAAGCCATGCGACCATGGGCTGCATCTTCCGGGGCTCGGCCGCTGTTGGATCACATCTATCCAGTCCAACAAGACGCCCGATGTCCTCTCACACAGCATGCAGAGATTCCTTGTTCTCCCGAGCCAACAGTCTCTACGCCTCTGGTCATGGTGCAGTCCGCTACAGCTGCCATCGAATTTCTGCTGGAACAAGGCTTGACCGCATTAAACCGACTGGCGATGTGCATCAAGCACATGAAAGAGCTTTCCACCGCCGCGCGTGGTCTGGCAGACATGCTTCGTATGGCCCAAGCAGAACACTTGAACGGTCAAAAGCACGATCCGTTCTGGCTCGTCCATCCCTTCTCCGGGCTAACCAGCCGAGAGTCCATCTCCTTCAGCGACATCACCAGCTCCAAACCCTTCGTCCTCGTATTCTTGGCCCACCTGTATAGTGCGCTCGTCGTGGTATCGATGCTGTACCCGGAACTGGACGCTGCCGGGTTCGTTTCCATCCGTCTGTATTCGCTGGATGCCTTGACACGACATTTCGAACCCATGACCGCGATCGATTGCGAGACCTGCCGCGAGGCCCACGGCTGTCAGGAGCTTTTGGCCTTTCCCTGGAACGTCCTACAGGCGAACCGAAAATGGCAAATGGATCGGCCAACAGTCTTACCCCGGACAAGTAATACCTCCACCCGATAACTGGGAGGTGAACCCCTCCGGCACCGACCGATGCAAGTTTCATCAATGAATATCATGCTCGAGAAGGCTTGATGGCCACAAAAGGCCTCCAGAGAGTACATCCAAGTTGTTTGCTGGAATATGCGAGCCTGCGTCGAGACCAAAGCCTATGTAGGAGGCAGGATTGTGCTCGGCGGAAGGTAACGTTCTTTATCTGGCCATTACTACTGCTGCCTTCAATACTACTTCTATTGGAAGTAAGAGCAGACTGCAGCGAAATGTAATGCAACCTTGCTGCAGATAATGATTGAAGTAAGGAAGAAGCGATGTAACTACTAGTAGTACTACTATGTGGGACTACCGGTACTTCTTAGTAGTAGTCACATGGTACTAGTTATATGACCTGTTGAATACTGAATACAATTACCTACCAGTGGTAACCGCTTATAAACGTCAACCCTTGTATGTAGACTGTCCTACGCACTACATAAATTTCAAGAATTTATTTCCTGTTGGAGGCTATTTAGATTGATTTGACCTGTCACCGTGATAGTTCCTGTTTGTGTTTTCCAGTTGCTGCAGTTTCCGTTCGTGGCGCCAAAGCACAAGGTAAGAACCAAGCTAAGCCCAATTCAGTATATTGGGTGTCGCACTTTCAGTCACACTTGCTTAAATAAATTCTACTCCCCTTCCCTTCATGTAAATCCCAGGACTGGTACTCGCAGGTAGTAATCATACTGCTATATTATTTTACTACTAGTCACATACAGTGCTATCTGCCCATAAGGGACTTAATCCCGTCCCTAGATAGACTTAATCCTATATATAGACAGTATAGTGGGGTGCGAATACACACCCAATATATAGTTTTATTACCTAGGTGTATTTAAACTTTTCGCACCCCATTGTATTAAGGAGGGTCTCTATCCGTTCTTTAAATACTAGTATCCTCAAGATATATAATAATTCTCCTAGACTATATCGAGAATATATTAGAAACATCCCTAATAATTCTCGTTAAATTAATGAGAATCTAGTGATTTAGAGAGGACTTAGTATTCTCCTAGATATATTCTTTAGATGGACTTAAACTAGTCTAAAAGGCCTATTATAAAAACGAAATTTAAGACTCAATAACTAAAGACATTAATTTATATAGTAGTAAATAGTATTATGTTTTCAGAAAACCTATCTTATAGAGCCGACCTTAATAACGAAAATCTAAATACATAAGGCAGCATAACAATGATGGCGGTCTTCCATTCTTGTCTTGCTTTCGCCTGCAGCCCTAGAATACTTTATTAACGAGCCTCTCAGCACATACTCACCGACAGACCTCATTTTCAATGAGACGAAAAAATGCTAGGGACTAGGATCGAACTCTTATTTTACTAGTAAACTAAGTCGAATCAGTTCGAATCGATCTAAAATCGGTCTCAGACCGTGCTACAACCGAGTCTGGCGCTTAAATCGCTGACTAGGCTGATTCGATTCGAACCAAATCGAACCGATCTAACGCCTATAGGGAAGACGATATAGTACTATGCATATACTCCGACGACCCCAAAAATGTTGAGAATTTGCGCTCTTCATTGTGGTAGGAGTACATAGTAATAGAATGTTATCGAGTGATCACGCCTATTTAGCGCTTAGCGCGAAGTTTACACTTTCCCCGATTAAGATCGAAGAAAATCCCATAATGTTTTCTATTAATTAGCGGGTGGTTTCGGGAAATATTTGGCTGGGGGCTCTTAATTGTTGAATTATTTACATAGAAGTTTGCAAGGGCTTGCGTGTTGACCTCCGAAACCAGACTCTTTTTCCCCATTTCCATAGCTCCACGCCAACGAAGAACCAAAGTCCGGCTATAAATATAATTGCCCACTCCCATGATATCTCACTCTGCTTAAAGATCTTGTGGTTGATCACTGGGATGTATAAAGTTATAAAGACCGTGAAAAATCCCAGAATGATTGCCCAGAATAGAAACTGGTTTCGCCAGACCCGAACAACAAAAAATGGCGTGTTATGACTCCATGGCTTTGGTTCGAAGAAGCTTTGGCGGAAGTCCACTAGCTCCCAGGCAAGAAACAAAGCAAACCATGTGAGACAGGCGAAGCATGTTGCTCGTGCACGGTATACAGTGGTGCACACTTCGCTGAACACATTGTTGCAATTATCACCAAGTTGGCCGTCTCCGAACGCATAAATGCGGAGGGTGAAGGCAGTAAGACAGAGCGCAGATACCCAGAGTCCATACACCATCATGTCGGCTAGGAACTCGGCGGTGAAGATTCCCATTTTAAGCTATGCCTTGATTAGCGAACTGTTCGACAATAAAGATCTCAGAAAGCTCACGCTACGTGGTGGGCGCTTCAAAATATCCTTCGCAGCTGGCTCAAAGCCAAGCCCCATATCGGGCATGCCGGATGTCGCCATGATAATCCAAATGATTTGCACTGGGGACAATGGGAATACGGAATGCCCTTTGCCATCTCTGTAAACTAGGCCAACGAGTAGAGTGCATGCCTGTGCAATGTTCTCGGCAAGAACGTGCAGGATGAACCTCTGGATGTTGTCGGATATGCGTCTTCCCTCTTCAACTGCGCTCACAATAGACGCGAAGTTATCATCCGTGAGCACAATATCGGAGGCTTCTTTCGCGACATCTGAGCCGGAGCCCATCGCGATCCCAACGTCGGCATACTTCAATGAAGGGGAGTCGTTCACCCCATCTCCCGTCTAATTCCGTCAGCAGGTGCAATGTCAACGATGCATAAGATGTCTGCTTACCATAGCCACGTACCCCTTGCGACGATGCAATGCCTTAATCATTCTGACTTTGGTGGTTGGTGTGCAGCGAGCGATCACCAATGGTAGCATTGGAAGTCGATCAATTTCCGCATCTGTCAAGCCATCGAAACGATCAGCTGTCATGACAGCCGCGTCCGCCTTATCCTTGCTAAGTAGATGCATTCGCTCTGGTAGGATACCGACTTCTTCAGCAATAGCTTTTGCCGTGCCAACGAAGTCCCCAGTAAGCATATGCACTACTATACCGGCGTCGTGGCATAATCGCACTGCCGAAAGAGATTCCGGACGCGGAGGATCGTAAATGCCAATCAGCCCTCTGAAAATGAGATCCGCTTCGACCTGATCGCGATCAGCGAGGTGAAGATCATTGATCGACCCATTATGAACGCCGCTTGCGAGGGCAAGGACGCGGAGACCATGCGCAGCCATCGCGTTCATAGTGTCCATGATGTCCTGGCGGATCATGGGCGTTAGTAGGGTCGGGGCCAGACTCCCGTTCAGATAGATTTTTGTACAGAGCATGATGATCTTTTCGACGGCACCTTTTGAGAACACGTGAATTTCACCAGAGTCTGAGTGCTGATACACGACTGTGAGGCGCTTGGTTTCAGAGTCGAAGGAGAACTCTGTGAGATGTTTCCATTGTGGGTCGTCTCCAGAGGTTAGAGATATACGGTTCCTGGTGAATCGGGCCGCGAAGACCTGGATGGCGATCTCTGCAGGAATATGTCAGTTTGAAGGGGCGGCCCATTGATTGGGGGTTTCTATTTTAAAATAACAACTGCATATCTAAGAGAGAGGTGCCAGTGTCGTGAGGAGGAGCTGACTCACCAGTTGGATCTCCTCGAGCCATCCATCTCCCGTCTTGGCCCAGGTGGATAGGGCCAACGTTCGCAAGGCTTGCTACTTCGATAAAGCTCTCCCAGTGTATGCCCAAGGCATCGGGACCACAATTACAAGACTCGTCCATTTGGCTCTCGGCAAGCTGCAAACGAAACTCAATCTCGGCAGCACTTGCGTCATGAGATTTTTCACTGGTATAAAAGGTATATTCTCCTTTGGAAGGAATCCACACATTTTTAACTGTCATTTGGCCTTGTGTGAGCGTTCCTGTCTTATCGGAGCAGATATCTGAATAGTAGTGAGTAAGTTGAGAGAGACATTAGCTGGGTATTAACCTACTTGTAACCGCACCCAAGGCCTCCAACGATTTCAAGTTCCGCACAATAACGTTCCTAGCAACCATCCTTCGGGTCCCAGCCGCCATTGTAATGGTAAGGACAACGATCAGCGACGCCGGGATCATGCTGAGTCCGGTCGCAACGGCGTAGATAACCACCTCTCGCTCGTTGGAGAATTTGTTGACCGCAAGCACAATAATAGCGCAGACAATGGCAGAGACGAAGAGAAATAGGGCCAGCTTAGAAAGCTTCTGCTGAAGTGGCGTGCCACCAGATGTACCTAGAAACCGCCCGATAAGCTCCTTCAAGAAAGCACTCCATGAGTTGAAGTATTTCAGTAGACCGCGTTGTTTGTCGGGGTCACTCTCGGCTTGCGTGCGAGATTTGTCTCGTAGGGCAGAAGCAATTGCTCCAACTTCAGTGTGTTTCCCGGTGGCAAAAACAACTCCGGTGGCTCTACCCCTTGTGACTCTTGACGAACCGAATGCGATATTGATGCGATCTCCAAGTCCAACGGGACTGTCCAAGGTTACAACTGGGTCCTTTCTGATCGGCAAAGATTCTCCTGTCAAGAATGCTTCATCAACCTCAAAATTGACAGCCTCCAGGAGTCTGTATAGTTAGCAACAACGGTGCCGTTGAGACAAATGACCTACCGGACGTCGGCGGGCAAAAGATCCCCCATCCTCATTTCTACTAGATCCCCGGGTACAATCTCGGCCGTGACTACTGTTTTCGTCTCGCCATCCCTGACTACCTTTGCGGTTGGAGAACAAAGGGCCCTCAAAGACTCCATTGTTTTTTCGGCACTGTAGTCTTGAAAAAAACTAACAGTGATGTTCAGAAGAATAACACACGCAATGACACCGCCTTCAATCCAGGATCCGATTCCGAAGCTCACAGCCATGGCGAGGATTAGAACCTTTTAACCTGTGTCAGTCCAGGAAGAGATCAAGTCTACAAGATCGAGCAGCTCACCAGGGTCATGGCGTTTGCAGTTTGATGGATCAGGATCTTAATCGGATGTACTCCACCAGCTTTCTCGAGTTCATTCCGTCCAAATTGTAGAAGACGCGCTGCAGCTTCATCTTGGTCGAGTCCTCTCGTGGCGTCTGTCTTGAGCTCCCCGGTGATGGAAGAGGTAGAAAAAGAATATGCAGGCCGTGAGAGCATAACGACGACCGAAATTACTCTTGTAACAGGGTTGAACACCACTGGATGGATTTGGTGAATTCCTGAATTGACTGATGAGCGAGAAAATAAAGAGGTTGTAATCAAATACACGTACCGCTTTAGAACATACATACTTTCTGGGATGGACTGTGTATTCCTATGCTCATGATATTAATTCACGCTTTATTCCGATAGTTTCCCGAAGTTGATCGACTTGTCTCCTCGTTGTATGTCTCCTTCGCGAAGGCGGAAATTCTTGGCAACATTGCTGGTTCTTGGCATAGAGGAATTTAGACTAATCGCAAGGCTGTAAGATAGCACGTTGTTTAACGCTAGCTACGCCTCCCTGGTCTCGAGTTCTTTCACTCTGGAAGTATTTCAGCTAGCAGTAGTTTTTCCCCTCCTTTTTTTCTTTGTTTTTCTTGTCTTCATCGGTGGTTCGAAGGTCGCACCACCACTTCGACATTCAGTCCTGCCAAGCACAGCGGAGAGGGAAGCGTGATACCGCGAACCCAGTGACGGAATTGAAGTATAGATATAATCATACGACCTGCCGGTTAGCGCCTTAGCAGTCATGACTGCAATAATAGAGAAGTTCAACATTATCCTTGCTGGGACGGGCATAAAAGCAGTCAGGAGAAAGTTGGATGTTGGATGAGACCAGGACATCGGCCCTCTCGATGAATATCAGGAGATAGAGCGGCATTTTTCTTGAGAGATACATGGACAAATTCACCGAATATAAGCCACCGGACACAGCAAGCCTGCTGGGACCGTCAATGAGTCGTCAAACTACTTTCCTGAACTCCAATTCCTTCAGGAAATTTCAAAGCCTGAGCAGACAAGATGATCCTTCACGCTTATGACTACATCTTTGCGCTTGGTGTTATGTTTGCATTCTTCGATGCGTGGAATATAGGTACGCCCACTCTGCAGAGATGTTGCAGCTTCAAGTTTAAATATACCTAGGCGCAAACGATGTCGCTAATTCCTTTGCCACGTCTGTCTCGTCGCGCTCTCTTACCATGAGGCAAGCTGTCGCGATTGCAACGGTTATGGAGCTTGCTGGCGCGATCGGAGCCGGCGCTCGAGTAGCAGAAACAATCCGCACGAAGATCATTGACCCCAACCTATTCAAACAGGATCCTGCAGTCCTCATGCTGGGAATGGTGTGCGCACTCGTTGGTTCGTCGACATACGTCTTCATGGCAACAAAGTTGGGTCTTCCTGTCTCGACCACGCATTCAATCATGGGCGGCGTGATCGGCATGGGCTTCGCAACTGTTGGGGCATCTGAGGTAACATGAATCCTCGAACATCATCCAGGCAAGCAATTATGCTAATCAGCGACAGATTAACTGGGGATGGAATGGTGTCGCCACTGTCTTTACCGCATGGGGAACAGCCCCAGGAATTGCAGCTGCATTTGGAGCGACCGTATTCCTCATCACTAAGTACGGAGTTATGCTTCGCAAGAATCCCGTTCGGAACGCATTCTTCTCCATCCCCGCCTACTTTGTCGTTACAGGTTCTCTTATCGCAAGTGAGTGTCTCGTTCATACAAGGTTAGAGACACTGTTAATTTTGCCCCAGTGTTGATCATTTGGAAGGGCGCTTCATCTCGCCTTAACTCATTGTCTGATGGCGAAATAATCGGCTGCATTATTGGCACAGGCTTTGGAGTTGGCTTGTTGGTCATCATCTTCTTTCTACCTTATCTTTGGGTCAAAGTTGTTCGGGATGACTGGCAAATAAACTGGCGCTACATTCCCTTGGGCCCTCTCTTGCTGAGGCGTTCTAGAGACATTCCACCAAAGCCCGAAAACATTACTAGCATCCAAAATTACTATCGGGGTCATCTCACACGTCAAGAACTGGACTGCCGGAATCACCAACAGGACGTCGAAGCCAATACCAACCAGGGACACGAGAATCCTAACGAGCACAAAGGTTCTCCTCGACCCCTAGAGAGCCCCAGCCATACCATTGTTGGCCCTAGGCCTGACGGCAAGTGGTATACTCATTCTGTCCTGTGGTGGGCCCTCAAAAAGGCTTTCTGGCACGGAATTGACCAAGATGTCATTGACGCTCAGAAGAAGCGCAACATCCTTTCAGGAGATGTTGAAGAAATGCATGCCCGTGCCGCCCACTACGACAATAAAGCGGAGTATATGTATTCATTCCTGCAAGTCATGACTGCATCTGCCGCATCTTTTACTCATGGCGCGAATGACGTCTCCAATGCTGTGGGACCTTTTGCCACGATTTACTACATCTGGCGAAACGGCAATATCGACAAGTCCAGTCCAGTGCCAACGTGGATATTGGCGTTCGGTGGCCTGAGTATCGTGCTCGGTCTTTATATGTATGGGTACAACATCATGAGGAATCTCGGCAATCGGATTACCTTACATTCACCATCGCGAGGCTTCTCGATGGAATTGGGGGCAGCTATCACCGTCATCATAGCGACGAGACTTAGTGAGTCCAGAAAAATGTTTCTCCCACCCTGAAACTTCGCTTATACCCAAAACAGAAATCCCAATTTCAACTACTCAATGCATATCTGGAGCTACTGTCGCTGTCGGTCTATGCAACGGCAACTGGAGGTCGGTGAACTGGAGAATGGTTGCGTGGATCTACGCGGGATGGATCTTCACCCTACCAATCACAGCTTTGGTCTCTGGTTGTTTGATGGCTATTATTATTAACGCACCCCAATACGGACATTCGGTTCACGCTTAAGAGGAGAGATTATCATCCAGAGTGCATACGGAATGGTGATGGAATGAATAGTCTACACTAGTCAAAAGCTAAAACCTTCACGCGGTGTTCGTCTTTCGTCACTGGTCAATGCTATCGATTCCCATGCACCATCGTGAACGTTTTCATTAGAGCTTTCTTCGATCTTTCACATTTCCCTGACATTAGCATGGCTTAGTCTGCTAATATTTTAACTTTACGTAGGAGACAGTTGCAATGTGTCGGAAATAGGAAGAGCGGATCCGGAATGAGTGTATCTCGACGAAGAGGACGAACGTGAAGGGGCATACTACGTACTCATCTATATCTAGTTCAATACTATATAAAGATCTATGACCAGGCAGCCTAACCTATTTAGGTGATATAGAAGTAGCTCCCATGAGGCGATAATCGCGGAGCTTAAAGGAAAAGAGCCAACTCGATGTATGGAAGTCACCGGCGCGGCACTGCCGACTCGAAAGCGACCAGTTAGCGGGAGCTTTGGGAATAACGAAGAACCGGCGTTGTTGACGGCTATCGTAGTGACTTGGAACATAATTAAATCGCGCCACGGGGCCCGTATCATTGGCTAGATAATGACTTCGGAGCCAGACGAGGCTGGTTAGGTGGCTTTCGGGCTCGCCGGGCAATATCCCTTGTGGAGTTACTACTACGCAAACCGCCAAAAATTTGGGGTGCGCAGGATCTGTGCGGTAAGAACTGCCCTCATTCTCGTTATGATCGCCTCCGATGTCTGAATCCTCAAGTGGCGTTTTGTATATTGTAAGGGTGAATTCGCTGCCTCTGGAACAAGGTCCAAGATCAAGGGTATCGCTGTTGTTCTCTAAGCAACACATTTCTCCAGGGCAAGCACAATGTTTCTCTCCAGATTCCTCTGAACCTCATCATGGGCTTTGCTGGTATCTATCTGAAGTTCGCGCAGGAAGGTTTCAATGGCGCTATGATTGATCTCCGTCGCTAGCCCCTCGTTCCCAAGATCGCTCGTCACGCACCTAGCTACAACTCTGGTGAAAATTTCGCCGACCTCAGGTTCCAGCTTGCGTATCTGGTGAATAATGGTTTGCTGGAGGTCGACGCGACTAGTAGGCGCCTTCTCGTCAGTCTCCTTCTCGTCAGCCTCGGCCCATTCTTTCAAAATCGAGAAGAGGTCCTTCCATAGTCCCACTTGCAGGAGCAAGATGCCGAGACTGTAGATGTCGAAGATCTCCACATAGCGCTGGCTCCTGGTGAAGTTGTAGGCAGGATGAGCATAACTCAGGTCGGACTCCCGGAGCTCCAGGTCGTCAGAGACAAACTGTGTCATGTGCAGCCGAGCATAGTCAAAGCCAACAATGTACGGCCGAGACAAGTCATACTCAGGTTTGGGTGAGAGTCTGAAGAACACGATGTTCTCGGGTTTCAAGCCTTTGTGCAGGATCCCGCAAGCCTGAAGGAGAAGCAAGGAGCTCGCCAGCGAACGGGCCAAATCAACCCGAGTACCCAGTGGAGGTTTCTTGAGACTGTTGGGGCCAGCAGGAAGGATTTCAGCGAGTGAGATTGGCTTCCGGGTTGGATCTGCCCAGGTCGGGAGGTTGTAGATGAAAGTAAAGCAACCCTTTTGCCGCATTGGCACATATCCCAGACAGTCCAGGATACGGAGCTTTTCCGGCTTGGGTGTAACTGCGAGGATCTGTGAGATCTCTTGCACTCGTTTCTCAGTAAACTCTTCGTCGTTGTTGGAGGCGTAAGATTTGTCCTCGAGAACCACGGTCTGTTGACCGCCGCCTCGCGGAGAGTAGGTCGCGAGCCTCCTGCTTGCCAGAGCGCCCGGTTCCTTGTTCACGACGGTGGTCATGCCTCTTCGCATCGGCGACTGTGGATCTGGAGGATTTTGGCCGCCTTTGATGGTGTCGAGTACCTCCTTCTTGATGGCTGCGCATCTATTCAAGTCAGGCTCGCCCTCAGCAGACGCTTCTATAAGCCGCTTTAGGTTGTCGTCGTCGAGGACTTGAGGAAGGACCCTGGATGGCAACGTCGAGAAAGTAGCTCGTTGCATATCTCCACTTGTGGCCCGCAGATCTTCATTGAATTTTCGAAGGTCGTCGATCAGTGACTTAGCAAGCTGTGCATCTCCAGCTGCCCAAAGCAGCCTTTTGATGCGATTTCTTCTGCTGATGATTCGGGATCGATCGTCGGCGGATTTCCCTGACGCGGACGGTGCAAACTTCCAGAATTTGTCAGGTAACGCAAAGTGAAGACTGGTCACTTCGCCTCCCTCGTCGAGCTCGTACTTGTCGATGAGAGCCCCAAGACTTTTCAACGTGACTAGACCTCTGGTAAGCGGACCCAGTCGCCAGATACATGGTGACGGTGAATACTTACGCTTGATGGCTTGCAGCGTGTCGAAGATCACCTTTTGCATGACTGGTCTGAGCGACCTGTTTGGACCTGGGTCACTTAACCATCCGGCATCTTCCAGCCACGCCTGGAACTTCGCTTGCTCAATAACGACCTTGTAAACAAGGAGGACTCCTTCGTCTCCCATACGCCTTGCCGTGACGGTGAGCTCGTAGATCTGGGCGCAAGCGGTCACTAGACCAGGAAGGCCAGTTATGAAGCTGACACCCTCCATGGCCATGAACCCTAGTCTCAAGGCCCTCGGCAAGACTTGATAAGACCCACGAACTTATGCCACAACGAAGCGCAGAACTGCGGGTTAGAGTTCAGCTGCGAGAAAGATCGGTAAAGTTCGTTCAGTGTGTGAGCGTGGCCGAAAATGCGAACATGTTTTTTTAGCGGCCGCCCCTCTCGTGGAGTCTGCTCGTTCAGCTCCTGAGCAGATAACGCTAGTTCGTTGGCCACAGACGAGGGGGGCTGTACTATTTGTATGCGCCAGCGCCTATTGACGCCTAAAAGACCCGATACTATATATTCTTTTATGTGAGCGTTGATAGGCGGTAAGGCTGGAAGGTCTCTGAGATCTGTCGGGGCTGTTTGGGCTGTTGTCAGGAGGAAACTATAAATGAACGACCCAGTCTTTCGGTCATTTGCGATTGGCGTTCAAGGTGTTCTTGGTGTTCCGTACCAGGCCAAGACACGTGATTGGTCTTGGCGCCCGTGACCGTTCGCAGGAAATTGGACATTCTTGGGCAGTTCAGCACTTTTCCAAAGAGACTCAACCAGTCTTTCCATATAATGGCCATACGGAGGCAGCGCTATTGGAATGCGCAGTAGGGAGTACTGCTCTAATGTTTTCGTTGATGAATCTTGGAACCCTTGCACGAATCCATTGCCCTAGGCGGGCAAGCGGAGCCTAAGGAACACGATGAAGACCACTTTACCAGGGATTGTGAAGGTTGAGAAGGACACAGTTTGGCGTGTGTTCTACTTCAATCCACGCCTCCTTGCCCAGGCTCGTCCTCTCGAGATACTTGCGGAGCTCGAAAACGATCTGGCCAGTAAGCAGGGACCTGATATACCGACTCCGGAATCTATGGGGTCCACTGTCGAATTGTTACCAAATATCAGAACACCAGGAGTCACCCAGGACACTTTGGACCAACTATCGGTTTCTCGAGTCTGGCACGATACCAAGAATCCTGAAATTCAGCCGTTGGAGGACTCGTGCTTGTTGGCGTTTCCTCGCTATCACCTCTCAATGCATCCGGCATCGAGAGTCAATCAAGCCCTCCACGGCTTGCGTAATCCGGTCGAATATGAAGCACATACTCTCAGCACATCGAAGTTCCATATTCTTCTCAAGGAACTTGACATCCAGGTCTTCCAGGATCTTTCCAGTCTTTTGAGGGATGAGAAATATCTCACCTCCGGCGCTTCTTTTGACATCTCTGTTGCGATTGCAAGGTCAAACTCCCAGTTTCAGCCATTCTCTGATGGAACAGCTCGGCCTCGCTGGATTGGAGGTTCTGTAGTAGCGCTCAAGAGGCTTAAGCCTCCACGAACAAGGCCAGGAATAAGAGAATCTATCCAGTTTCCGCGGATTCATCGCTCATTGATACATGAACTCCGAATTCTGAGTCATGCTTCTCTGCGAAATCATAGGAATCTCATCAACCTCTTCGGTATCGCCTGGGAGAGGCACCATGACGTTAGCGGCATCGACTATATGAGACCTGTGGTTGTGCAATCATGCGCGACACGAGGAAACCTGCGAGACTATCTCCGCGCTAAGACGGATGACAAGGAATTGCCATGGCGAACCAAAATGCTGTTCTGCAAAGATATTCTCGATGGGTTGGCCTTTCTACACGCAAGCAATGTCATTCACGGCGATATCAAATGCGACAACATTCTCCTCGAGGAAGACTCCAATACACAGCTAGTGGCTAAGCTGACAGATTTTGGGTTTTCCATCATCGTTCCTTTGAGTGTTAGCGCTGCACCAATTCTGGAGGTTGAAATGCTGAGTGGGACTGAAGCATATATGGCGCCTGAAGTGTACATCGCAAAGCAGAACGGGACTACGACATTGTCGACGAGCGTAGCATTCAGTTCTGACATCTACGCCTTCGGGCTTACTGCATGTGAGATCGCTCTTAACGGTCGATACGTGTTCTCCGCCTTGTTGAGTCCCAGCGAAACACCTGAAGTCACTCCATCGGCGGATCAAGATAGTGAATCAGCGGAGGCCTGGATCAAGTCCAAGATAAGAGACAATGCCGATGACCTGCTGCTTCGTCCCCTCAAAACCCTCATCGACCATATGGAGGGAACGGATGAGTATCGGCTTTCCGAGGTGCTCGATATAACTTTCAGGCGTCGAGCTGAAGACCGTGCAACGGATATCGCCACCATAAGATCTGTAGTGGTTGGCTACGATGAGGAGGCGACTATTCCAACAGTCGGGAGCCCGATATCGCTAGACAAAAGGTATGTCTCGTCTGTTTACTCCGCAGTCACTCTTCTAAATCGACAGCTCAAACTCGTCTCTCTCCTTTTTGTTCAAACAGAGATACGAGATATTCAACGTCAACGGGCAGCCCGTCCAGCTCAGAGTCCATGATGTATCAGTAAGGAAAGCAAAGCATTTGTATCAACGCCACCTAATGCTGCCAGGTATCCGTACTGAGAAAGCTAGATTCGGCTCTCTCCTCACAGATTCTGGAAGACTTGAAGGTCAAAGCCAGCCCTGCTGTTTCTCTACAGACCACAAATGTCCACAAGATGAATACGCTGTCACTGGGTGATGTTGCCTCAGTCTCTTTTTGCGCTTACCAGATGTTTATATGTCACTTGCACGGCTATGGCGTACCTTTCGATCTCGAGATGGCCGTCCAGTACCTCAAAGCTAGCGCTCACGGAGGCTATGTGCCAGCTCTCGTGGCTGTTTCGAACTTCCGAGATCTAAAAGCGGATCCTCTCTTCGCCAGAAACGACCGGATTCAAGACGCACTCGAGGCTCAAGTATCCATTGGTCCACGGTTTGGAATACTCCTGTGGCTTGTAGCATGCCGCACTCTCCGGCGCGATAACCTCGAAGCCTATCAGAGAGGTTTCAAGAAACTCAATAGCAGTGGCTACGCTGAACTTGGTGAAGCTCCAGACTGCTACACACAGCTAGATGCGGAGACCTTTGGAGGTCCAAGTGTCGAATACCAGTGGGTTGCCCGAGGGACAATGCCTCTGGTTCTTCGACTCCTGCCCATCCTTTCCGTCCAAGAGTTCACCACGTGCTTCAATAATGGCTGTTTTCCCAGTGGGGCCGTCAACTACAACAATGAAACTGCCTTGTACATGTGCTGCCGTGCTGGTGAAAAGGAGAAAGTACTTGCGCTCTTGGATACATATGAATGGGCTCGAGCAGAAGTCACAGTTGCCAACAGGCAGGGCAGGTTTCCATTGCATTGGCTATGGGCATTTGAGCGAGATGATGCACAAGCGGTGGCCGAAGCTCTACTGTCCCACGGCGCCGACGTGGACGCCATAGACGAGGACGGCTTCAGAGCGATCGACTACGCTATTGTAGCGCATTGTCCGGATGTTGTATCACTGTTGCTAACCAAAAGTGAGGGCATCTCTGAGAAACTACGACGCAGTTTACTGACTAATACGCAGTGATCAACATTTTCAAAGGACCAGAACGATTAGGTAAGGACCTTCTCACCCTGATTCGTGCGATCAATTGCGGTGAGCCAACCACAGCGATTGAACTTCTCCAAAAAGCTGGAGCCGAGATCGTCGAAAAAGCGTTCCGTGGAGCTGCTCAAGGAGAAGCAACTTCAAGGGTCCTACAGTTTGGGAATGCCTTTCAGGAAAGACTCGTTTCCCTAATAAAGGCAGCTACCCGACACGTCGGACCAACCAACTCCCCCACAAGCATGTTCGAAACAGTCCTTATTGTGGCCATTGCAGCTAGAAGTGTCGACTTTGTAGAAGCATTGTTGGATGCTCAGGTCGTTCCGCAGTTCAGTTCAGCAAAATGGTCGACGGTAGCATTGGCCTCCGCGGCGGAGTGGTCCCAACTTGACGTCTTCAAGAAGATTCTCAAGATATCGGCTCCTCTATCCCTTGACGATGCACACACCGTGCTTGGCCTAGCGATCCAATACAAGGGACACTCACAGCTTGCCATCGCATTGGCATTCATCGAGTATTTGGATGAATGCGGCACCATAAAAGAAGTAGTCAATTATCGAGTACCCTCTGCCTGCCCCCCATTCTGCGATATAAAGCATGATCACTTCTTTTATCCAACCCAGTTCTGGAATGCCGTGGATGAAGGTGCACACGATATTGCAAACATACTTGCTTCATATTGAACTGGGGCGAGGCTACTAGCCATGGGCATCAACTCGTACGGCGGTGGGTATGGTCTCTTCTCAACGCGCACACTCAACTAGGGGAAGTCCTCTCTGTTGGTAACTTGGTTGCTTGTGTATTGTATGAAAGATAGTCCCCCAGAACTATATAAGAAGAATCATAGTCTAGGGTCGGCGCCCCAGCTAATCATAACGCTATCCACCACTTCTAACTTCTCTCATTACATCCCTCCCATTATCGCTCGCTTCCTTAACGGCCTCGCTTAAGATTTAACTATAATTTTCGCCTATCCTTCTCGAAAATATTAATTCTTTTTTATATTCTTTAAACGCTCTACGAAGTTATCTAATTATCTCTTATCTAATCTCTTCGAATTTAAGCTCTTTAACGTCCCTAGATCTTTACTACGCTTCGGTTTACGTATAATTATTTTATAGATCTCTAAGGCGATAGTGAAATGATCCTCGATATCGACTTAAGTATTAGATAAGATTATTTATAAATAAGTCGTCTCGTAAGTTTCCGTATTAATAATCGCTAAAGAATTCTTAATTATCTAGAGCTCATAACTACTAGTGTTTTACTAAAGATTAGATTCTAAGCGTATTTCCCGGGGTAAAATACTAAAAACGCTCTTCTTTAATCACCGAACGAAGAAATCGAGTACTATCTTAGTCGTATCTAATCTACCTTATATCGAATTAATGATCGAGTATAACTATATTATCTCATCGATTATAAAGATTAGCTAATGATACTCTTTATCTATTAAGTCGTCGTTAAAGATAATAAGTCGTCTTATATTATTATCGACGTTTCTCTAGACTTTAAATTTCATCGGTGCGTTTACGTTCCTATATTAGTTAATTTAGAAAAGGAACGCGGCGTCTAAGATAATGATATATCTTATATATAATTCTTTCCGGCTTATTATAATTCCCGCATCGATGAAAGACTAATTAACTTATTCATTATATTTAGAATTTAGTAGAGCGCTTCGAAGAGCACTACTTAAGATATCGATAGTCTTATAGTCGAAATAACTAAATAAAACTTAGTAATTTATCGTTCCGAATCTTTCTTCTCACTGCTTTATTAATTATTCGAGATTCTTCATAGAATCTTTATAAGGCGTAGTAATTCTTTCTAATTCTTCTAGATATAAGGCGATTTCTTTCTCGGCTATATATAGATAGACGAATATATATCGACTAGATATATATCTAGTAAGTAAGCTTAATATATTAATTATCTTTTTAGCTTCGAATTTATAGTATCGTTATATATTTTTACGACTAACTAAGAGTATATTTCTTTTATAATTCGTCTATCTTATATACTTCTAAATTATTAATTACGCGAATACGATAAAGCTTCTAGAATTTAAAATCGAATTTAATAAGTTATCGAACGTATCTCTTCCGAGAAAGTATAGTGATGGGACGACTTCGGAAGAACTAGTAATACGTATTCTCTAGTTTATAAGTTACTATTCGATCTCGATTCTATAAAAGAATTTCGAAATTCTCGGCTTCTTTACACTTAGATTATAGTCGGAACTTAGAGCTACGAAGTCTAGATTAGGGATTATTATCTATAGCCGCGGTCTCTTTATAACGTCTAAGATATTAATCGAATTATTTCTTATTTAATTTATTTATTCGCGACTTCTAAGAATAGAGCGTTCTTCTCTTAATTTCGTAAGCTATATTAAACTTTCTCGTTCTATACTCGTTAAACTAGATCGTATTGAAAGAGCGCTTTACTATAGTCGTATAGAAATTAAAGTAATAAGAGTAGACGTAGTAAAGATCGTAGAAGTAGAAGTTCGATCGCCTTAGGTAATCCGCGTATTCGGACGTCTTATGGAAGTATTAAAAGAATCGATAAGGCCGGCGAAATTCGTCGTTCGAGATGTAGAGAGATTATTAGTACTAGAATAAGTAATGAGTCGATGAACTTCTAAGTCTAAAACATTTCTAGTAATTAAATCTTACGTAGTAAGTAGTGCTACTAGTCTAGATTTTTCTTTAAATATAATTAGATTATTATAGTTTATAGAAAGAACGTCTATTTAGTATAGCCTAGCTACTTCTATAAATTCGTATCGGCTAAGTATCTCTAATTACTTAGAACGATTACGCTTAGCGATTCGCTTATTATCGTTAGATATTTTATTATTAAGGACGATCTAAATATCTCTCGTAACTAGATACGACGAAGTATTATAGTGTCGATTCTATCGAATTCGAATAAGACGAACTATTATTTTATACGAGGCGACTTATAGTAGTTGAAGAGATATTACGTTATACTAGAGTAAGTGTTTCTAAGCGAATTAATACTAGTCTAAGAGTATAGTTACATTTTCTCCGTATAAAATAATTAATTCGTTAAAGAATTTCATTAACGTCTAAGTAGAAAGCTTTACGAATTCTCCGCGTAAGATAGGAACGCCTCTCTCTCTATACTTATAATTAAAGAGACTTATATTATTTATTCGGCCGTATTTAGAGAGTAACTTATTACGTATCTCTATACGACGATTTCGTCTATTATTAAACTCTTTCTTTCTAGTGTATAAACTAGAGTATTTTTAAAACTCTATATAAGTATTTAGAAGATCTTTAATGAGATCGTAAACTCGTTAAGCTATAAAGTCGCGGATTTCGCTTATTTACCGATATTTTAATTTAAGAGAGCTATAGAAGTCTTTAATTCGATTCGTATTATTCTAATTTATAGTAGCTATAGCTTCTTTAAGCGTAACTTCTCTAATATAGTCTAGATATTTAATAGTGAGAATAGACTAGTTTTCGACGGTTCCGATATTAGGTACTTAATATTTAGTATCTCTATTAATAGCGATTATAGAAGTAGAATTTAGATAAATTATTAAAAGTCTCGATAAAAGTAACCTAGAATTTCTAAATATCTTAATAGCGTAGTGAATTATTAAGATAAAAAACCGAGAAGAAAGAAAGAAAAGAAAAAGATAATTTAGTTCGAACTATCGTCGTTAAAATACTAAACTTAATAATAAAGTTATATAAAAGTTTCTAGACTTACGCTTTTAGAATCTTACTTAGAAAGATAATTTTAAGAGTAAAGAACGAGTTAAGAGAGTTTAGAATAATTTAAAATAATATAAGTAACGGAGAATTAAGTCGTAGAATCGTAATCGAAAGAAAGATTAATGAGAAGATAAGAACTAAATACTTATATCTATCTTTAGTAAAAGTATATATATTCCGGAGTCTCTATAATAAAATCTTAATATTTTACGTTTTAGATTATCTCTTCGAATTAATTCTATATTAAACTCGATCTTCTAGTAATAGTATCGTTACTAGTAGTGTTACTAATATATATTTTTCTCGTTATCTTTAGTCTATATAGCTATTTAATTTATCTTATCTATAATTAATCTTTTAGTTATCTATAAAGATCTTACGATATTCTTACTTAGTGAGCGAGAATTCTTAAAGCTCTTATTCTCTAGCGTTATTACTTTTCGATAAGAGTATACTTCGGGCTATAATATTTACTTTATCTTTTAACGTTTTAGGCGAGGACGGCTACCTCGATAGTCGTGAAATTTTAGCTAATTAACGTACTTCATTTTTCTCTATATAGTGTTTAGATAAATTTAGCTAATTAAAGTACGCGCTTACTTTCTTACGTTCGTAGTATTTTCTTTACGACTAAACGATTTACGATACTTTATTCTCTCTCTTCTTCTTTTTATTAGCGAGGTTTCGGAGCTAATAGAGTCGTAGATTTAGACGTATCGTAGTTCGGTTCGAGCGTAAGGCTATACTCATCGCCGTTCTCTTTCGTATAAATTTTCCGTAAGTCTTTAAATTTAGAGCGTTATCTTCTCTATCGCTTCGTAATAACTAAGCGAAAGAGATAATAACGAACCTTACGTAGTTTATCTCTTAAAAGATTCTTCTAGAATATTTAAACTATTATACTCTCTCTGTATTTAGTCTATTATAGAAGAAATTTCGACTATCACTATTAAGGGTAGCGACTTCGTCGCTTTATTTCGAAGTCTACGGCTACGGCGTAAGTAGATTTCTCTCTACTTCGAGAAAGAAGACTCTACGTCTATAAAATCTTTCGTCTTCGCTAAGTACGGCGAATCCGAAGTTATTATTCGTTATTACTCTTCGTCGTCGGCGAAGTCTTCTAGTAATGAAGGTACATCGACTAGAAAGTTCGCTAGTCTTGAATAGAATCTCTTTAGACGACTAATAGTATACGTACTACTTAGCCGGGTTTTATTAAGCTTCGCTAATGTATACGTACTCTTCTCTTAATTCGCTTTCATAATTTTAAACGGCCTAAACCATCGAAAGGCTAATTTCTTTTCTATAAATATATTTATTAATTCTACGATGTTATAACTAAAAACTAGTATATTTACTTTAAATAATTCGAAATGTAAACTATATCGCTTATCGAAATATTTCTTCCCGAGTCTTTGTATTCTATTTAGATAAGCTACTATCTCTTCTAGATCTTTACTTCGTCTTTTAAGGGCCCGGGCCCTTATAGTAATTAAGTCTATAGTATCGATAATCTTATCTTAATTTATAATATTCTAGATCGTAATCTTAAGCTTAATCGATAGAATCGATCTATTTAAGAATTTAATCTTATATAGTATTATCTCGGTGTCGGCTTTAATAGTTATTTAGTCTATCTAAAGAATAATATAAAGATAGTATATCTATATATCTTCTCTATTCGTTTAGTATATTTTTAAAAGAGTATTCGTAATATCTCTATATTCTATCTCTACTTATTTATTTATTTAAGAGTAGTAGGCCGAAGTAATTACGCGTTTAATTCTATATTTTTTAGCGAGTTCTTTTATCTATTTCTTATTCTTAGGTTCGTCGTTATATACTAATCTTTTAAATAGACTATAACGATAGATAATCTCTTCGTATAGAAACTTCGTTACTATTATACTATTAGTAGATATAAT